GAGTCTCCAGAGGACCCCAGCCCCAGCTACTGTCTGACTGCAGCCATGTGAGAGACCCTCAATGAAAACCACCCACTAAGCTCAACCAACTCTCAGAACTGTGAAAAATCATCAAATAGCTGTAGTTTTAAAGCCACTAAGTTTGAGAATGATTTGTTAATGCACAAATAGATCATGAAATTTGTTGTCTTTCAATAAATTTCATCTAAAATATCAAATCTGCTGCCACAAAATTCTTTTTTTTCTTTTTCTTTTATTTATTATTTATTTATTTATTTATTTATTTATTTTTGGCTGTGTTGGGTCTTCATTGCTGCACACCGGCTTTCTCTAGTTGCAGCGAGTGGGAGCTACTCTTCATTGTGGTGCGTGGGCTTCGCACTGCTGTGGCTTCTCTTGTTGTGGGACATGGGCTCTAGGAGCACAGGCTTCAGTAGCTGTGGCACGTGGGCTCAGTTGCTCCACGGCATGTGGGATCTTCCCAGACCAGGGCATGAACCCGTGTCCCTTGCATTGGCAGGTGGATTCTTAACCACTGCACCACCAGGGAAGCCCCACAAAATTCTTTATAATATTCTCTTAGTATATTTTTAATTCCTATAGGATCTGTAAGAATGCCATCTTTTTCATTCCAGATGTTAATAATTTGTAATTTGGATTTTTTCTGTTTATCTTCCTTATCAGTCTTGCAAGTTTATCTGAAAAAGAAAAGGAAAATCTTCTGGCTCCGTTGATTTTCTTTAATATACATTGATTTTCAATTATATCAATTTCCTCTCTTACTTTTTCTGTTTCAGTTCTTCTACTTTTTTTTAGTTAAATTCACTTTTTCCTAATTCTTTTTTTTAAATTTATTTTTAATGTTTTTTAACATCTTTATTGGAGTATAATTGCTTTACAATGTTGTGTTATTTTCTACTGTATGACAAAGTGAATCAGCTGTATGTATACATATATCCCCATATCCCTCCCTCTTGCCTCTCCCTCCCACCCTCACTATTCCACCCCTTCAGGTGGTCACAAAGCACCTAACTGATATCCCTGTGCTATGTACCTGCCTCCCTCTAGCTACCTATTTTTCCTGATTCTTAACTTAAGCTTTCAGATCTCTGATTTTTATATATTTCCCCTTTTATAATTTAAGCATTTAAACCTATAAATTCCTCTCTAGGGACAGTTTTGGTTTCATGTCACAAATTTTGAAAACCTGTTTTAATATTTCTTTAAAATATTTTCTAATTTCTCATCTTATTTATTCTTTCATAAGCCATGGATTATTTAGAAGTATATTACTTCACTTCCAAAAACTTGGCTATTTTCTCAATCTTATTGATTGTAATTTAATTATATTGTTGTCGGAGAATATATTCTGTGAGATTTTATTCCTGTGAAGTTCTGTGCAACTTGTTTTATGGCCATAAAGTATGGTTTATTTTGTAGATGTTCTTTGTAAAACTTAAGGAAATACATACATTGTGGCTATTGGATGTAGTCAAAATGTGTCAATTATAAATAAAAATTTGGTAAAGATGGTTCACATCTTTAATTTCTTTACTTACATTTGTTTGCATGAATCTATAGAGATGTTTTTCTGCCTTCTATCTACTTCCCAGTTTCCCACGCCACCACAATGAATGCTACCATACTTAGGTTTGGCTGCTCACTGCTCAAGAGCCAATACCTGGACCACAAGTGTTGGATGGAAAGGAAAATTTGCTTTATTCAGGAGGCTGGCAACTTGCGGTGGGAGGAGGCAGACTTGTGTTCAAGCAAAAACTCTGAAGACTCTGCTCAGCCATGACAGTTTTTAAAGGGAAAAGGGGAAATAATCTCAGTTGATCATTAAGGTAAGGGGTTAGCTTCTTCATCATTTTCCATTCTGTGCAGACTTGCTGCCTCCTGTGATCTTCCTCCAGATGTTATCTTGTTCACATAGTTTTCTCACAGGATTACTGAAGGGGAAGCTGTGGAAAGGGTCTAGTCACCCATTATTTGCTTATTATTCTTTCCAACTTCTTTAGTCTAAGAAAAGAATCAACAATGTTAGGTGAGGCAGTGTGTGATCAAAAGATTTGAGAGGTATGATTTTAGGGGTTGCTTACAAATCCCCACTATCAGACATTATTCCATTTCTGTGAGATTAGGGGCCAAGATCCATCTTCTGTAGCTAAAAGATAATAGATTTCACCAAGCTATATTTTAACTTAATCTTTACACCAGGTGCCCCATGCTTCACTAACCTCTGGCCCTAGCATACCTCTCAAATCTTTTGATCACACAATTCCTGTTCTTTGACTTTCTCTGACATTGTGTTCAAATGACCGTCACTTTAAAATAAACTTCTGAATTATCCACTCTTTAGAGTTGATTTACATTTATAACTGACTCTTAGGATGGAATAGATAGCAGAAGCCACCATCTTCTTAACCCATTTAGTGCTTTCTTTGAAACCTATCCAATTCCTTTATATTATTGAAGTCTTTGGAATTTAGAACTATATACTGATTTACAGTTGTAGATCCACAGTGTTTTATAAAAGGTCAAAGAAAGTTTGATTTACTTTTCTAGCTTGTTTCCCATCATAAACTTTTTGTCAAGTTTCTTTTGATGAGAGTAAACTGTAATAGGAAAGAACAAGTCTGATTCCATATTGGGGTCTTTTTCTTTAACCTTTGCATTCTACTGCCTTTGCTCAAGGTAATCACTAAAGAGAGGTTGCCTATAGCTTAAAACATGCATAATGGCCCATCTCTAAGAACCCTGACCCCCAGGCCTGAGCATTAAGCTAAAATACCTTAGTTTAGCTCACAGGAAACATCCTGACCAGACCCACCTGTGAATGGCTGCAGACCCCTCCAGAGTCTGGCTAGGACCAGGAAGTATTTGCAGCAATCTATTGCCTTTTTAACTTTACCTCCTCACCTCCCCTTCTTGGCTTTATAAAAGAAACTAGCATGCAAACCCAGGCAAGATGGTTCTTTAGGACATTAGTCCACCATCTTCTTGGGCTGCTGGTTTTTTCCAGATAAAGTCCCTACTCCTGGCTCCAACACCTTGTCTCTCAATTGATTGGCCTGTTGTGTGGCAAGCTGTATGAGCTTAGACTCAGTAACAAAATTATTTTAAGGCAGGACAGGAAAAATTTGACATAAAATCTTTCTGCCATTTGAGCCACTATCTCTCCCCCTTTTGTGTGCGTTGTGCATTATACATTAGCTATATCCCATTATAAGACATCGGAATGCCTATTCACCCAAAAAGAAAAAAAAAAAGCAATTTTCTCCTGGTGTCAGCAAAGTAGTTCCTTAGGAAATAACATTCATTCCTTAATTCTGTAAGGGGTCACAATGACCCATTACTTGCCTTGCTGGACTCTGTAAACTGCCAGTATGTTACTTCGATGTATAACCCTTTGTCTCAAAAATTTATGTAACTGTGCTTTGACCTCTAATGGGTGGAACAGTCCTCAGAGGTTTCTGAAAGACTATCTCACAGGTTATAGTCATCAGTTTGGCTGGAATAAAATTCTCTTTCTTAGATTGACTATTGATTAATTATTTTTCCACCAACAGTTTATATCCTTGCAGTTTGTTTTCAGTTTTTATGTATCACCTTTTTAAACTTTTGATTTAAATTTTTTATTACATAAAATATTTGAATGGGCCTCAAGTTAAAACTACTAAGAAGACATATTAGGAAAAGTCCAGCTTTCACCTCTGTCCTATTTAACCTATTCCCTTCTTTTGCCTTATAGGCAACCATTTAAAAAATCCTTCCATTATTTCTATTTACAAACAAAACCAGGTGATAGATAGTTAGATGATAGATAGAAAAATAGATAAACAGATAAAATGAATGGTGTATCTATATATTCCTATTCTCCTCTATCTTATTAAACAAAGTGTTGTGTACTATACACACAGCCCTGTACATACTGAAAGGGCATTTTGGATATTATTCCGTAGCAGGTTATTCTCATTTTTTCCTCCAGCTGCAGAGTATTTCACTGTTTGGATGTACATCAGTGAATTTATATAATCCCTTTTCTTTCCCAGCACTGTCCCTCATTTCTGCTAAGATAAGGTCCATTAAGGATTTTCCCGTAACAGACAGTAAGTTTACTGCACAATCTGGAGGGTCTCAGAAATGTACCTTTTCCAATAGTTTTGGCTTTTTGTCCTGAAGGCCTTCTGAACCCTATTTATGCGGAAGAATGCATCTCAGCCAAAGAGTCGGCATGCCACTACCTTTTATCTGAGAGACAGTAAAAGACTGAAGTGTTGAAGCCCACCATTAGTCTAATAAAAGAGGAATTCAAGAAGTACCCAGGATTAGATATTTTCTTCAAAAAAAAAAAAAAAAAACAAGGAAAAAAGAACATGATTTTACAAAAATTGTCAGGGCATCACATCCTTACAAGTCACCTGTATTTCTTATATTTTTTGCCCCTTTCTGTATCCCACGGTGTGAAGAAACTTGCATGCTTGTCTTTGAGAATGCAAAGATGTAGGAGACAACCATGAAATGGTTTCAACAAGGTTTTTATTCTAGTTCAGGAAAACATTCCTAATTAGAGAATACAGAAAACCCAAGGAAAAAACAGGGAAGGAAGCAAGGAAATCTTTCAGATCCACAAGTGACCAAATTTCAGTAATGTTAATGAAAACCATTATTGTTATATGATGCAATTCTCCTTTTTTCTTTTCTTTCTACTTCCTTCCTTGGAACTGTATGAAGCAGATGATTTTCATCCATATTTATTTGAGAAAGACTTTAAAAAGGAATGTGGGCAGAAGATGAGTTCAGATGCACAGGAGGCAGTAAAGGTTAAAAACAAAAGGGACCAGGAAAAAATGAAGATAAGGTATTGTGATCAATATTGCAAACTTCCAGGTCAAGGATAGGGGCTGAGGAAGCCATCAAGAAGGACATTTTCTGCAGGATCACTCAACCAAGAGCAAACTAGATCCTGAGAAGTACTATCGTTGTGGAAGAATTACAGCGAAGCAGGAAACATTTTCATGCTGCGAAGAAGCCGAGACAGAAGGTTTTTGCTTGAGTGTCACCATCCTCCCTTCAGCTCAGGAGTCCTGCAAAAGACAGAGGAGAGGGCTGTTTCCAGATCTAACTCTGCAAGCAGTTCTTTTCTCTTCTTTCAGGGTCTCATGTTAAAGCATTGAATTAAGAAGGAAAACAAATTCTTAAGTCTCCCTGAGCCAAAGTTACTTCAGAGAACAGGCCTTCTGTTTAGTGGAGAGAAGCTTTAGTGGAAACTGCCTGATCCGAACTCAGATCCAAGGTCTTTCCCATTATTTCTGTCACCTGTCTTGTCACCTCTACCATCTGTTCTAGGGAGACTAAGTATGTCTCTAAAAGAGAGTTAAAGAGCATTACCTGTTGGCTGGAGTCCAGAGTGTCCTGGGAAAGAGAAGGAGATTAATCCTTCTTAATATATGGAGATTAATCTGTCCCCAAACAGAAGGTTCCCAACCCCCGACCCCCACCTCAGATTTCCATTAAAGCACAACCTAACCACATGATGACAGGGCAGGGAGGAGAGCAGACACTGAGAGCTGGTAACCTATGAAGCTTCTGTCACACAAAACCAGTATAACTTCATCAGTCTTAGTGTCTCTTCCTGCATTTGCCCCAGGATCTCCACCCAAAATCTCCAAGCATGTTAACATTTTTTTCATCTCTGCAGGCCATCACCTCTTATATTGTAACTGTACCTAACCACGGACTGTCAATTTCTGGATTTTCAGGAAATTTGAGGTCAACTAAGCAAAGAAAGGCTTTACACAGGGTCATTGATATACAGAGAACTAACCGAGCAAAGTCATATTTCTTCCCCCAAAAGTCTGTGGGGAGGCTCAGCTGCCAACAGGCTCCTTACCTTTCTGATTCCTGAAGTAGATGAACAGCCCCACCCCAAGGAAGAGCAGACCCAGAACAAAGCCTCCGATTCCACTCAGCATCTTGCTCTGAGCAGATTCAGACTGTGCCCCTGAGAAAAGAAGCTAGTTTTAGTGATACTTTACCCCAATTCTTACTTCTCTAATTGAGACTCTGAGATTCAGAACTGTGACAATGGGGGAAAAAAGCCCGCCCTGGAAGAAATAGAATAAGTGGCCATTTCTGGAAAAGAGATTTAAGAATCACACTAAGCAGATAGATACACACTGAGAATTAAACTCACTTAAATATCACAGCCTTGACATAAGGCCACTACTTCAACATCTTAAGGGTGAAGTGCCAGGAACTCAATGAGGTTAAGGAGCTTGTCTAGGGCGGCAGAGCTAATAAAAGGCAGAACTGAGGTGGGACTCCCTTCATGTCAGGGAGGTCCCTACATCGTAGAGGACACACCTCTTCTCAGATCACAATGAACAACTCAGAGCAACAGTGGCAGAAGTACGAGCCCAGCCTGAAGAAGGGCACTGGTGCCCAGGGCCAAAGAAGTGACCATGACGTGAGATAAGATGGGAGGCTCAAAACAGGGACACCTCTATTCTGCTTGTCAGGCATAACTGCCTTCTCAGGGGGTACAGGTCTTCGTACAAACTATCACAGGATATCTATAAATATCAGAGGATTTCTATCACAGGATATTCACATGACTACCCTCCTAACCTCAGCTGAAGGATAGGAGAGAATAGAGCAAATGAACAGATGCTGTGGGGAGAGGAGAAACCTGACACTCAGGGGTAAGCAAGCCCCCTCCATGGTGGCTGAGGGACTCATGAGGCCAGACAGCTTCTCACTCCATTCCACTGTGACAGGGCTGGTCCGGCTGGGGTGCTCCACGTGGCAGGTGTAGACCTCTCCACTCTGAGGGACTGTTTCAAGCATCACCATGGTCTGGAAGGTCCAGTCTCCATTAGGGATCAGGCCTGTGGAGACCACCCCCGCCTCCTCTTCCTGGCCGTTCCGGAACCACCTGACTTCAATGTGGCCTGGATAGAAACCATTCACAGAGCAGACCAGGAGGTTGTGGCTCTGCAGGGGCTGTGTCTTTGCAGGATACACAGTCACTGTAGGCGCCACTAGGAGAGAAAAAGGTAGAGGGGATAAGTGAGGGAGACAGAGTAAGTCTCGTTGGTTGGCTGCCTTTCTGCATCCACTCTCCAGTCCCAGACTGCAGCCTTGGGCAGGTCTCCCTCAAAGATGGCCATGTGGCCCAACTTTAGGAGTTAGTACCATGATCCTGAATTTAACCCTTACCGCATGGACCCATTAGATTTTAGAGATGCTGAGGATACTTGTGTGTCTTTTTTTCCCCATTGCATGAAGTAGTTATTTATTGTTGATGTGTTTACAACTCTTTGCAAGGCATTTAATTAAAAGTGTCATTTCTGAATCCATATTGCCTGGGTTCAAATCCAGGCTCTGTCTCTTACAGATTCATCCCAGGAGAATTCTTCCATTCCTCTGTGTCTCATCTTTCTCACCTATAAAAAAGAATAATAATTCTATTTCACTTCCTAGGGTTATGTGAGGATTAATGCACCTGAGGTATGTAAAACCATAGCTGGAATTTAGCCTTCAATATATCAGAGCTATTTATTACCCTTGTTTAATTTGAAAGAAAATATGATTCAAAGCAGAGTGGATAAATTAGGGAACAGCAGGGGGGGGGGTGTGGAGACAGAGGATGAAATCCTGGGAAAGCTGTCTCCAGGCACTCACACCTTAGAACACCTCAGAAAAGGTTCTACCCTTGGAAGAAGGAAAGACACAGGTGAATCTCTAACTCTGAGTCGAAGTCCAAAAAAACTCATGAGTCCTGAAGGAGAAGGAAAGAAGGAAGAAAAATCATTAATTAAAAAAAAAATTCTTATAATTAAACTCTGCTAATCAATCCCTCTCCTTTGCAAAACAAGTGAATTTACTACTGGAATTGTTATCAGTTTGCCATTGTCTCTCTTTTTAAGCTGACACATAAGTTCAGGCAAGCATCTGGGACTCATTAAATATGTGTGCTTAGCGCCTGAGACAATCTCTGACAATATCAGCCTTAATAAACACAATTTTTTTAAATGATGGAGAAACTTGGTGAAAAACATTTTTACAATACTCTAAAATGGTAAGTTTAAAATTGATGGTAAATCTTTCCTAACAATTTTGCAGTGTATTTTATTAAGTAAAAATGTTTAAATTTCTATCATGGAAAATAATAAACTGAATCAAAATATAAACCACAAACTGGAGAGAAAGCTGAATCAAATACCAACAGTGTTAACTTTGCTGCACAGAGAATCTATATCACTGAGAAAAACACCAGGACCCCAGAAATAATAGAGAATAAATAATAGTTAGAGCAGTAACAAGGGGCCAATAAATATGTGAGAGATATTCAAGAACTTTAGGAATCAAAGAAATATAAATTTAAAATAAAAAATGTAACTTTTAAACTACTTGGCACTATATATCTTTGAAACAAGATCTGATAAAGGAGATTGTGAGGTGAATTGTTACACTTTTAAAAAGAAATATTATGTAACTACTCGAATACTATTAGCGTTATAAAAATAGTAACATCAGTGTGTTAACATAATTATAATTCAAAAGCTGATTACACAGTCATTTCGACTATGTAAAAATATATAGGCTAAGAAAAAAAAAAGGCGAAAAATTTAGACCTAGAAGAAGTCTCAGGAAGATCAGAGGTGCCGCAGAGGCTCCCCTGCCCGCACCTGTCAAAAAGTAGTCCGACACCTTTTTCTCAGTGAAGTGCTCCTACACACAGACAGACGCGGCACACTTATTTCCGGGGTGTCAGGAGTAAGAGGGTGTGTGCCCAGAACGCGCTGTGACTCTTCTCACAGGCTCCCAATCCTTTCACTTTCCTCACCTCTCCTCCCGCAAACTTTCCCCCAACCATAGACACCTTGAAGTCCCTCTCGCATCTCTAACCGCCCACCCCAGCCGGGTTTCCCCCCTCCCCTCCCCTCCCCTTTCCCTTTCCCATCTATTAAATGTGGAGCCTGGGCAGATCCCCTCCCCTCCCCCTCCCTCCCCCACAGGGACCACCAAGGACGCCCGGAGCCTCCCTCCTGCACCCCTCCCGCCACACCTCCCCTCCCTCCCGGGCCTCCGCACACCACACACGCTCTCTCCCCTCTCACAGTCACTGACAAAATCACACACGGTCTCCAGACAACAGGCTCTCACAGCAACCCGTCGAACTTGTACTTGCTCACAGCCCTACACACACCCCGCCTCCCGAACGCAGTCTCCTCTGTCCCCGTCTCTGTGTCTCTGTGTCTCTGTCCTTGTCTCAAACACACACTCACACGCACTGCGCCCCCGCCCGCTGGCCGCCCAGCCCCGCGCTCACCTCGCCGCTGCACCGTGAAGCTCTCCCCAACCCCGTAGTTGTGTCTGCACACGGTGTCCACCTCGGCCCGTCTCTGCTCCAGGAGGTCCTTCTGGCTGTTCCAGTACTCGGCGGTCCGCCGGCCCAGCTCGGTCACCGCCCGGTACTCGCCCACGTCGCTGTCGAAGCGCACGTATTCCTCCCGGTTATAGATGTGTCTGGTCATGTACCGCACCCGCTCCGTGCCGTTGGTGAAGTAACAGTAGCTCTTAAAACTGGAGCAGGAAATTCTCTGCGGGAGACACCGCCGCTCAGTCAGGCCTCAGCCCCAAGCGGCAGCCGACATTACATTTGTTGAAAATCTTGGTCCCACTGAAATTTATATTTTTCGAGAATCCAGACCCACTGAAGAGCTGTTTTTCCAGGAAAATTAATTTGTTCAGGACCAAGGCTTATTTATTTCTTTGCTTGCCAACCAATTGCAAAGTCATAGTTTATCCTTCACATCATCTTTTTTCTTAATTTCTCTGCCTCTGGTCCACTACTTATCTATAGTAGTAAATTACAGCCACAGACATCTTGTTCCTGTTCATGCCTCAACGATTTCACTTTCTAACTTTGTCTCCTAGTTCCAACAATACAAGTAGGCATCAAATTACCACCCTTGGCCAGATGCAGAACTTGTTTCTGTAGTCAAGTCTCCTCAGAAGGGGAGAAACTAAGAAGAAGATGATATTCTCATATAGACAGAAATATGAGCAGGTCCCCAGACTCTAAGTAGAGACCATCACCGAGAAATGACGGCAGAAAGAAGGGTACTCTGGGTCAGACCAGGTCTATTTTACTATTCAGAAATTCTCAAGTATCTTATCGACACATGATAACAACGTTACAAAATTAAAATGTGTGAAGTTACTGCTCACTGTAGCTTGTATGGTTAGCACTGTTGGTCCAGTTCTCATCCCCAACTTAAGGTAGCCAGATTTAGCAAATAAAAATACAGGATTCCCAGTGAAATTTCGATTTTGATAAATTACTTTTGTTTATCAGAACTTCAGATGTAACTGAGCATCCTGTATTTAATTTGGCAAAACCTTAGCCCAACTTGCTAATGTAGCCTCAGAAGGAGGAGTATATTTAGTTCTTCTTTGTATTCTTTAACACATGCCCATGGCAGGCTGCAGAAAGTGTGAACACATATGGACTTTTCAACTAATAAATGCAGAATGAATGTAAATGTCTCTTTTTCTCATGTAAATGTCTCCTTTTTGTCAATAACAACCAAAAAGAGACATTTACATCTTATTTTATTTATTTAACTTTTTATTTTATATAAGAGTATAGCCGATTAACAATTTGGATAGTTTCAGGTGCACAGCAAAGAGACTCAGCCATACATATACATGTTGTATCCATCCTCCCCCAAATGCCCCTCCCATCCAGGCTGCCACATAACATTGAGCAGAGTTCCCTGTGCTATACAGTAGGTATGTCTCTTTTGTACTGGATCTAGCAGCCCTTGCAGTACCCCTCCACACACACACACACACACACACACACACGCCCAAGACACACACTGTGCATATGAACATCAGAAATTTTGTCAGTAATTCAGACACAATCAAGCCACTATCCCACTAATGGTGGTTAGAATCCCAAGCTGTAGAATCAGAACTTCTGAATTTGAAGATGAGCTCTTCTACTTAGGTCAGTTTTAGCATCCATGAGCCTTTTTTCTTGATCTCCAAAACAGATTTGATGATAGTATATCCCTCACTATATATATATATTTTTTTTTTTTTTTCTTTTTTTTTGCAGTACGCGGGCCCCTCACTGTTGTGGCCTCTCCCGTTGCGGAGCACAGGCTCCGGACGCGCAGGCTCAGCGGC